CATTTGTTCCAAGTTTAGTTTTACTACCCTCATCCTTGATCTCTAGAAGAGAATAATGATATACAATCATTTTTATGCTTTTAAGCCTTTATAGATCATGTTATTCTCTATGTATGTATCTTTGACATTTTGCAACCTACCTTAATTGGAAAGTTATAGCCAAATTCCAAGATTAAGGTAATCCTCTCTAGTTAATGGCTATTTACATGTCAGAAGAACCATGGCATGCATACCTAATGAACAAAGGTGTCGATGGCAAAATTGCTTTACAACGGGGCTGTCCAACTGGTGGCCAGTGAGGGATTATATTAACATGTGACAGGAAAGCTGGTCTCTGAACACTGAAAGGATACTCTGAAGGACTGCTGCAGTGAGAAATGTAGGCACAGAAATGTTACCATATTCTTCTTTTGGTCTGTACTATCTCCAAACTTTAGGGTCACTTTTTCCTGTAAAATCATTTCCTTCTATGTAACAAATCGTTTGCTATGAATGTAATAAATCATACTGTAAAAACCCTTTGTATGAACCAAGGGAAGACCTTTGGGAGCTGGCAATAATTCCCATTGCAGCTGTAGAGTCCGATGCAAGGGCAAGTGGAACTGAGGCTCATGGGGACAGGATGTTGGGACAAAACCTAGTCTGTTCCTTGAGACAAGCAGTCAACAGTGTAAAGCAGAGCTTTCCAAACTGTGTGCCGCGACACATTAGTGTGTCGGCGGCAGTGTGTAGGTGTGTCGCGCGAAATGCAGAAAATTTTGCAGAAGGGCACCGCGGAGCTCCCTTCCTTGCCCCTGCTTCCCTTGGCCCCTCCCCCGGAACTGAATTACTGTGTCGCGAAATGATGCATGTCTAAAAAGTGTGTCACCAACATGAAAAGCTTGGAGAGCTCTGGTGTAGAGAAACTTGGAGCTCCAGGGCCACCCTGACAGTCAAGTCTGTGACACTCATCCACTCCAAATAATGTGGCAGATAATTACCCTGCTAGAAATTCTGAAAAAGCAAATGAACCCTAAAGGTCAATGACATTCATGCCAAAAGAGTGATGGTGTGGGAAACTTGCTGTGAAACCATATTTTCCTGTAAAATGATCATCAAACATAATTATTCATAGTGTATCATGACCCAGCTACCCATCTGCATTTCCCT